GTTTTCCTGCTATCAAGCACAAAGCCTAGGTGCATGTAAATATTTGCTGAATTAAAACACAAATGCTAGACTCACAAAAACATTTAACAAGTATTATGTAGGACTTTCTGACAGCTTCGGTTGAAGGCATAAGGCAATTGGAGCTATTTCATCTTGGTTTACCTCTACAAGAAAAGTTGTGTCCTGAACCCACATATGGGGTTGCAAAGAGTGTGGTGAAAACCCTAGTTTTGTTCCCCTTTGCTTGTGCCTCCTTTCATGGCATAAGGAAGGGATAACAGTTGAGAAATCAGTGGATATGGGAAAGCAAAGGTGTCTGTAGAGAACTGATGACGTGCTCTTTTCAAAGGGCCCTTGCGAGCAGTGCCAGAAAGACCACTTAGAAAAACTGACTCATGTCTTTTTAGGCTTGGAAACTCAGAGGGCTGCTGTGATTCATGCCATAAAATAAAAGTCCACAGCCGAGCTGAGGATGCATTTGGGAAGTTGTTGTGCTCCAGGCATTGGCCTAAAGTGTTTGTGGTCAGGACAGGAGGGTGGATGAAAGCCTAGCCATCACACCTCCAGCTGGCATGTTGGCTTGCCAATTTAAAAAGGGCACCAAGCACTAGCTTTCTGAGGCCAGGGGTGTCCCATTGGAGGCACATGCTGAAGGGACAATGCAAGGGTTAGAGGAGGGCCCAAGGTGCACCGAACAGATTCTGACAGTGCCTGGGTAGATTTCAGAGGTGCCTGCCAAGACTTCTGCCTCTCACTTCTCATCTCTCCCTTGCTCTCTCGACCCCAGAGGAAGCTGAGCTGGAAGAAGGGAGGATGGTAAGATACGCTTGGCTTCCAGCTTCAGCTAGACCTAAGATGGAAAGGCAGGTGCTTTAACTTAAAATGTACTTCTGAGTTTTGGATACAAGACTGGACTTGTACACTGCTGAACTGAGACCATGCTAAATGGGGCTATGGGGTTTGTCCAAGATGAGGTGTTCTGAAGAAACTATGGGATCAGTGAGACATTTTATTTCTGAAGGCAGAGTCTCTGAACGGGGCTTGCAAGGGGTACAAATGAGAGGAGGGTCGCTCTGTGATCACCCTCCCCAGCCCCTCTACTTCAGTGCAAGGGTCTCATTTACTCCTCACCTAACAGTGGTATGCAGCTGCTACCCTAATTTATCAGATGTGGAAGGAAGATCCATGGCCTTCAACAAATTGCAAATTGCCCTGGGTCATACCCTTAGGATTCAGACCTGGTGTAGGGATCCACATTCCACTGCTTCCCCTCAACACTACAAAGCCCTTTCAATCCCACTTTCCAAACCTTATACTTTGCTTTTACGCTTATAAATGGCGAAGTGGCTTTCTCATCATCTATAAACCAAATCATCTTTAACCAAGGGCAAGGAAAAATGGTAAGCGGTGTACAGTTACAGGAGGGAGGAGTAGGATAGTTCATTCAGGTAAGAAGAGCCAGGAGCAGGGGGTTAATTGGTTACCACAGCAATGCAGACCTGTCAACAGGGGCAGAGAGAGAAAGAGGTGGGTGGCAAGGTGGCTTTACCATCGGTCCCCAGTGTCCTCTTACAGCGGTTGTCAGCTGCGGAGTTTTGTAGCTCAGGTGGCCACCAGACCCCTGGAGATCCCTAGGTGCCCCTTAAGTGAGCTGATTTAAATGAACTCTATCCAGGAGTGAAGGAAGCACTCAGAGGTGTAAGAGGGAGTCATTTTCACAGCAGCACTTGCCCCCAAAGCATCTTGTCTGTATGTCCCCCCAGTAACTAAACATGTAAGCTTACGTCCCCTCTTTTAAATAATATATTTTATATAAAAAACTGCAAAAGAGGGTAGAGAAAATATTCAAAGTTAAGCTCAATTTTGGAACAAAGGCGTTGGCACTACATAGGTTCCTGGGAGCCATGATGCAGCGAGAAGCTAATATACCTGAAGAGATTCAGAAAACAACCAGGAACAGAGCCTTGAAAACATTCTGGGTTGTGTCTACCCGGGGAGCTCAATCAATTAGTAAAATGTCTGTATCAAGCCAATAGAGGTTTTCAGTTCTGATAGGCTGCTCTGTCAAGAATACTGCAATATAAAAACTTTCCATATTCACATAAAGGATGGAAAGAAATCATTTTAAAATATGCAATGAACATGCATATGCCTCTTTACACGTGCAGTTTCCCAGCTCTGAGGCAGATGGGAAACTGAGGGCAGAGGGCTTCCGAAATCCAACTGTGGTCTATAGCTAGTACGTGGAAGAGCCAGGCCTCCGAGCCAGGCTGTCTGGCTCAACTCTGCTCTGAAGCCCTGGGCCCACTGCCTGTGCCACGGTGCAGCATCTTGGTTCTTTCCCACTCCCAGTGGCCACTCTCAGATCCGCCAAGGAAGAGTGTGCAAGCTTGCAGGGTCTCACAGCTGTCACTCGGCAACCTCATTTCATCATCTGCGGAATGAAGGCTGTGGATCTGGATACCACTGACGGGCTTTGCTAGCTCCGCCATGCCAGGATGGGATGCCAGAGTCCTCTGATTATCCTCAGGATGTCTGCTTGGGAGCTGACACAAATGTGAGGCGTCTAATACACGGCAGTGAAAAACCACTCCTGCTGAATTTAAAGAACTGTCAGGCTAGAGATAGTTTTAGAAAGATGGAAAAATCATACACTATTTTAGACTGTTATTCACTACTGGGACCCTGAGAAATGAAAGCAATTTAAAAAATACAAAAGTAACTATTAAAACTGTTTCATTTCATATTCCACTGTAAACTGTTTCAGGGAAACTAGAAATGTGAATGCTAATATTGGGAAAAAAAAACTAGTTCTTATAAGGGCCCACATAGTCAGTCCTGGCTGAAGACTCCCAATCTGCCATTGTTAACTAATTCCTATCATGATGATTTTGGGAGGAGAAATAGCACAGAAACCTGATACAGTATCAATTTTAAATATGACCTATATGAACAGCCTCTCTAATTTATTCTAGGGCAAGATACTCCTTAGCATAAGATCCTCAGATTTCCTCCTCAATCAATAAATGTTGGGGTTCTGGCTGACTCATGGCCTTTTGTTCCTTGTGAACAACTGCTCAACAGTTGTTGGTGTCCCCATGGCACCACCATTTTGTCTCTCGGTCTTTTTTTCCCTCCCTAAAAACACCTGATGAGATTGGAGGCTCACTGCAGGGGTCCCTGATAGGAGACAGAGGTGCAGAGCTCCCTCACTTATTGGGGGTTGGGGCGGGAGCAGCAGTGTACATTGGAGAAGCAGAGGGAAGGCCTATGTGACCATGTGCAGAGTGGATGTAGCAGGAAATGAGGCTAAGATAGATCGGGCTGCCCGCGTAACACAATGGGATTCTGTAAACCCAGTACAAAGGGCATTGGGACCAGCTCCTAACACACTGGCTAATTATGTGGGCTCCTTTTCAGAAAGCACCTACTGGCCTTTCGTAGGCCTAGATACGTAGTGTTTACTGTCCCATCTCCCAGTGTCCACATTATACCAGCTTTCTCATTAGAGTAAGAAAACCAGCCCGGCTGGTCAGTTGAATCAAACAGGCAGCCGGTAAAAATGACACATCTTCACTGTCACCCACAGTGGAATCCTCTGACTCTCAACTTGACTATTAAGCAATTGTAAATATCAGAGCCACCTGCTACCTCTGCCAGGCACCTGGGCGATCTTTGAAAGGTAAAACCTGAAGAGCAGGTACACATATATCTAACATTCAATAAAACAAACTCTTAAACACCCCACCTTGAAACCTCAAGGCTGCTCTCTGCCCTTGTCCCTATTGCCATCAGTCAAGGCTGATGTCAATGTTTCTACCTGCAAAATACTTCAACAAACACTCCTAAGTGCTCCGGGCAGACAGCACAGCTATGCTGAGCAGGACTCTCAGGTGCTTTCCCCAAGGAAACTTCTTTCCTAGCCCAAGGAGGAGGAGGATGGGGGAAGGGAAGGGGAGAGGATGTTTTCATTTAGAGTGGAGCACACCTGTGAGTGCCATGGCAGATGTTGCTGGGGGAAGGGCTGGTAGGCTTGGGGACACAATGACAATCTTTAGGACCTTATTCATCCTCCAGGCTCCTTGTAAACCTAATCAGTCCCTGCTGGCACTAATTGTCCTAGTCCTTTAATGCCAGTGCTGAGCTGAGGCTTTCTTTTCTCCTACAATATTCCTTCACAGAACTTCCAGTAACTGGAGATCACTAACTGGTAGTGCTCGTATGTCTGATTTCAACTGGGCACCCCTGAAAACTGGAGTCTGCTGCCGGGAGAGTCTTCTAATATGAAGAGAAGTTGGTATTACAAGAATGCACTCTTTACCCCCACGTCTACCTGTGCCGCTCCCTGTGAAGAATGAACATGCTTCAAAGTGGCAAAGTAACAACCTGTTCTCGGTATTTGGATCTCTCATCAGACTTATTCTGTCACTTGAGGTGGGTTAACTCCCCAAGAGTCATTCACAGTCGACACCTCAGCTCCAACACTCTACCTCTGGAATCGAAAGGGTTTCGCTAGCCTGTGTGATTGGAACTGGCACTTGACCTAAGTAGAGACAGGAGGGCCTAAGGAGGAGCTCGGCTGTCTCAGACACTGTCATTAGCTGTGTGTTTGAGAAGTTTCTTTTCTAAGCCTCAGGGTATGCCCCTGAATGAAAAAAGGAAATAACCATGGCAAAGAGAGATGGATACATGCAAAATGTGAGCAACAGTGGACTCTTGATCACGTGACGGTGACGAGGTCCTGTTCCTCTTTGTGATGCTGCCATGATAGACACGTACTATGCGCAAAACAAGCAGGGCCCTGGGGCAAATTCCCTGTTCCTGGTTTCCTGGAGTCACAGATAAGCAACATCTATGTCTGGGGAAGACCATTTACACTAGGGCATCAGAGAGCATTCTGTTGTCTGTATGTGTGCCGTGCATGCAGGTACATATTTTATTTTATTTTGTTTAAAGACCAAGAGCCTTGAAATGACACAAAGGAAAAACAAGTACCAGAATTGCAAAGTTAACATTTTTATTGAACTGAAATCAGTGTAGAACAACAGGGGCCACCACAGCTGCTGAGGTCAGTAACAACTGAAAAGCCCCTCTGACATTTCATCTTTGAGAGGCCTAGCATGGTTGGGGTGGAACAACTGAGAAACAGCGTATGTATGGGTGTGTGTGTGTGTATTTTTAACACTTCAAAATAGTTTGAAATGAGTCTCACACCCTCATTCAGTTTTCAGGTTACAAAGAACATTGACAACATCTTCTGCCATCTTCATTTAGTAGTGTCAGTTACATCTCCCCCCAAATGTTCCTCTCAAAGCACTGGCTCTAATTTTCCCCCATCCAGGACACACGAGAAAAGAGTTTAGTAACACTGGGGCAAGTAATAAGCTGCAAGGATTTCTGAAGCAGAGCAGCACACATCAGGCACAGAGATGACATGAACTGGCCAGAGACTCAGCCAAATTTCGGAAGCAAAGGACATAGAGGGAGGGCCAGGCAAGACGCCCATGTAGCATCTCAACTGAGGGCCCTCTGGGTCTAAACCTCACAGCAACATCTTGCAACTGTTTTACATAATAGAGTGAAACACTTTTTTGGGGGGAAAAAAGCTCCTATAAAGGTGGTAAGATCAATCAGAGAGGAAAGAAGGTTAATACTGAACTTTAATATCAATGCATTGAGTGATAATTAAAAACTGACCACACCAATAACCTCCGAGAGCAACTACTGACGGTCTCTTACTGCTTAAAGATTTGAAAGTCAGCCCTTCTAAAGTGTTTCAAGGGAAATAACCAACAAGGTAGGTGAAATCCCTACATAACAAACCCACACGGTCAATTTTTTTTTTTTTTTTCTCAATTTGGTTTAAATTAGCTGCTTGTTCAGTCTGGAATAGATTTGTGGGTGTTGGTATAAACCTTCAAGATTTCAAATTGTTTTCAATGATATGTGACTTTAAAACAGCACAACTCACTTTTTAATATTGACAGTGCTGTTTTACACTTAGGATTCTTCAAAACAAAGACTACATTCTTCCACTGAGTAACTGATACTAAGGGGTAACTCATTTCTAGGGCAATCATTTGCAAGGGTCTAAAAGTCTTATAGTGTGGAATGAAAAAGGATTATAGTGATACCACGTATTCCAAGATTTGCAGCCGATAGATATACAATATGTCCAATGTACAGAACAAATGTCTAAATTAAGGCTTTTACTGGTATGTGGTCATGTGTATGGGTGTGTAATGCTGGATTTTCATAGAGCATCTCCAGATTTCATTGTTACCCAACTTGTAAACCAGAAGATGTGCTGATGTGGGTGGGGAGGAGCTCCAAGATATAATGATTAATCAACTGGAAGGCTTGTTTGTAAACAGGTTCTGAAACAAGATTGGCAGTGAAAAGGCTGAGTGTGGGTGCCTCAGATCATGCAGAGGGGAAAAGTGATTTGCACCTGCTGATAGTGATGAGCTAAGAAAAATACAAAAGCCAATGGCTGACCTTCAGTTCAAAATTTCCAGATATATAGAGCCTTAAAAGTTTAGAGCCACATTCAAGCCTATGGTTCTAATAGTTCAGCTAGCAAAAGTCAACACATAAAACTTGTGAAAATGCAGGTCCCTGGGCCCTACCCAGAGATTCTAATTTGGGTAATGCAAGTGGTCCAAGAACCTTGCTTTTGAAAAACATTGATCATAGCATAGAGCAGACACAGTCTCTAATAAAAAAGCCAAGATGTCCAAGAAGTAACACCAACAAAGTCATTGCCTATAGAAAAAGCCCTCAGGAGACTCTGCCATAATAATATGAGAACCAAATTTATCACTACTAGCTTTATATCTTTTTGTAAGTAGAAGTATGTAATAAATTAATATTTAATAATGATTGTACCAATTCTGAGGTAAAAGGAACAGCACCAGGGATCTCAATGCTAAAAGGAATAGAATTCCCAAGGATGTCCATGTTACATAGAAATCAAATTTCTGCTATAATATTTTAGAATTGTAGTGGAAAGGGATCTTGGTAAAGTCTGTATACTTTTGTATACTACTTTTAATATATTATATAATCTTTCCAGTTAGTTTTAGAAAGAACTCCAAAGAGAAAAGTTCAGCTACATAGTCTCTTATATTCCCTAGATACCAACATTTTCTGGTTTACAGTGATACACGACAAAGTTATTTATTTATTTTGTTGGATGCTGGAGACAGACATCTTTATTAAAGATACTACCAAAATTTTGGCAAACATTTCAAAACAGATTTGTAAACATAATGCTTCCCTTTTCAACTGGCAGCACTTTGAAAAGACAACACGATAAGACAACACAACTTGAATCAACATTAGTCCAAAATCCTGTATTTTTGACCATATAACTTATGTTCCCACATGATAAAACAAGTGATAGTTTAAATCAGCGTCAACAGATAAACTCCATGAAATGAAAGTTTGTGCTATTTGATGAATCACAGTATGTTATGGTTAAATATATCCGCTTTTTAATATTCCTGGCACCCAGGATGAAAACATCTTTAAATATACATCTCATGTAGGTAATAGCTTCTTTGCATATCTCTCTTCAAAAAATACTTTATAGCAGTATATAAATATGTTACCTACACATTCAATTTTTATAATTTTGCCCCAAAACTATAGATCTGTTTCATTTTTATAACATATCAATTTTTGTCCAACATTAATAAAGCTGATAAACTGTTGAAATGGAAATGCTTTCCTCTTCCATAATAGAAGTAGCGATTTGACAGGAAAAGAATAACAACAAACCCCTACAGTAACACTCGTCAGCTGTTTAACCTGAGCGTTTGGCCTACTGAGAGTAGCAGCTTTTTCCTTCACGCATGCTCACGCCCACATCACCTCGGCACGCACACAGGTTGGGCACACGCTTTCAGACGCTGGTAGGCCACAGTGTGCTTCCCGTGGCTCTGATCGCTGGGAAGCAGTGTAGCTAATGATTAACCACACTATGTACATGACTAGCAAACACCTTAAGGCAACCATTGCAATGGGGGGTTAACTTGCAGGGTGGATTTAATAGTCTGGATCAAGTCAGCCTGTACACACAAATGTGTATAATACCTATACACATACACCTTTCTATTTTTAACCCTCCAAAACAATGTTTTAATTTTTTTTGTATTTTGTGCAAATTTCTAAATATTCTACCATTTAAGGCAAAGAGTTTGCATTAAGAAAGGTCAGAAAATAGGCTTGTTTATCCAAAAGCATTTCACCTGACACATTACTTTTTTTTTTTTTTTTAAACACACACAACTTTTAAGTGTGGACATTGGATCCCCAATATCTAAAAAATCATTTCTAATGACAAACACAAGTTTTTAAGGAAAAAAATGATTTGAAGTATATAAACACTGGATCCCCAATATCTAAAAAATTATTTTCTATTAACAAACACAAGTCTTGAGAGAGAGAGAAAGAGACGGGGCGGGGTGGGGGGGATGACCAGCAAAAAGCAGCTTCAAAATGCAGGGAAGCAAAAAAAAAAAAAAAAAAAAAAGAGAGAGAGAGAGAAAAGTAACTCAAGTTTACTAATACTGAAACTTTCAACAGGCAAAGTTTCATCTTTTTAGAATCTACAACAACTCATTTGGAATTTTAAATAAATAAGCTTAAGTTTATTCACATCTTCTGGTCCAAGCAGAGTTTTAGTGCCATGACTCTGCTTGCTGTTGGTCAAATTCACCTATTAGTCTTTTGATGTGAGCCAGCTTGTTATGAAGATACTCGCATCTGTATTTTTCTTCATGGTAATTGGGACTCGACTGCAGATAAAAAAATAAAAATCAAACAGTAAGGAATTAGCTTGATGAATTTACTGTTCTCAACTATAGGTTAAAAAGTCAACAGCGATGATACTTACCTGCTTGATCTTCTGATATTCTTGTAAGACTTCTTCATGAACATTCTACAAAATCAAAAATCAGTGATCAGGAGAGAGCAACACTGTTTTCTTTGGCAACAGAGTAGCTAACATGCAGTCATCCAGAGTGTAGCAAATGTTGACGTGAGAACTTAGCTTGGCACCACCTTCATGGGAGGCAATTTGGCAACAGCTATCAAAATAGCAAATGCAAAACTGACTCAGCAGTTCTCTCATACTACAGATTTACTCTCCTCTGAGTGAAATGATACATGCCCAAGGTTATTCACTGCAGCACAACTTGTAAAGCAAAAGACAGCAAACAATGTCAAGATGTTCCTAAATCCATACAAAGGATATCAGCAGACGGTTAAAAATGGGGGAGTGTTTTCTGTGATGATATAAAAAAAAATTCTCTAAGATGCATTATATTGGTTGGTGAAAAGAGTAAAGTACAAAATAATATCAACAGCTTCAAATACCACTATAATATAAAAATTTCCTTACTTTTAAGATGCATCTATCTTTTCATTTTAGTGAAACCAGGACAAAAAATAATGTGTCATGGTTTTTGTTGCTGGGGTGTAACACAACAATGCATCTTACAATAGAGGAAATCACAGATTCAATTAAATGTAGTACACATGAAAACTTACTTTCATATATGCATACACACATTTTATATACACACCTTAATAAAACTTTTGAAAGACTACTCTGGAAACCAGCAGTAAGGAGTGACTGGTGGTGATGGGGTAGGCAGCTGGGGGAAAACAGCTCGCTAGCCCTTATGTACCGTGTATCTAGCATGAATCTAAGCAGTTTGCAAATGCTTACTTACATTTATTACGCATAACAACTCTATGATTATCTATGATTTGTTTTGATTTGTTTCTTTGAGGCAAAGAGGCATTAAATAACTTGCCCAAGGTCATGTAAGTATTAAATGATAGCTTGGAATCCAACCTATAAAACATGTCTTCAGAGCTAGCTCTTAATCACTAAGCAATCCTGCGAATTATATTTTAGTTTAAATATGACCATGCATACTTTCGTATCATGATAACTGTGTAGGAAAAATAAAGCCCAAACTACCATTTCACCAACTTCTAATACCTTCAAATACCCCATTTCTTTGGAAAAGTCTGTAACTCCTATCAGCTTTTGATCAAGGCCCATTAATACAAGACCTCAGGCATCTCTAGGATACAAGTGGTCTTGGATTGTTTCAGTGTGTTGTGGGGAAACTCATCCATCTCTTGCATATGCAAAAACAGCAGTAGTGGCTGGGAAAGAGGCCCTGTACCATGGATGGTGTGAAGTGTGACAGAGTTATCTGGCTTATTCAAAGAGGGCAGCATTGATTTCTGTTGGTCTTTTTGCTGAGGACTATGAAAAAAATCAAAGACAGGTCAGACACTTTGAAGCTATAGTACTGCCATGTAAGATAAGGTAAAGATGGATTAAAACTGGTCACAAGATCTCAGTCTCTGGAAGCATCAAAATTTCTTCATCTCAAGCCAAAACTGTATAGTCTTATGCTCCCTTTATGGCTCACATCTGTATTGAGCTCCCCATCTTATGTCAGAGTGTGGTTTTCGAAAAGAATAATTTAAAAACAATTTATTTGAAACAGTACAGTCTGAGGGAAAGTGCCAGACCTAGGATCTGTAGTCTCAGTTGAGTTGTGGTGTAACCAAATACTTGAAGGAATCCCAGGATTCAACAATTTTTTCCTATTTGTGTCTGGCATGCTTCTCAACATGCTACACGTTACATTTCTGCCACACAAAAGTTTTTTCCACTGTGTTTCTTTATTTTCAAGAGGTATTTCAAATGTTTGGTTTCATGAACAGCAGAGAGGCTAGTCTGTGAGAAAACTGGTGTTTGGAATGGCTGGGGCTGGGGTGGCAGGAAGACAAAGAAAGAAGGTAACGCATGTGAGTGCGTCCGTGTGAGTGCACACACATTTACCTGATACTCTTTTGAGCCCGGAGAAAGGCGCTTCCGTTGTGCATCCAGTTTGATAAATCTTCGAGCTACTGTCTCCATTCTGGCATGCAAAGCCCTGTACTCGTCATACTCAGCATTGAAGTCATCCTTGTAATTCTGGCGTTGCTCATAGGACACAATAGCGATATATTTTCTATTAAGAAAGGTAAACACAGATCAGCCAAAGAACAAACTTGATGGTGCCTGAGTCTGAGATTTAAACCAACAACCTAGAAACTGTATCCCATGTCTATCCCTAGTATTTAGTGCTACTCTGCCACTGGTCTGTTGCCAGGTCATTCCTTCAAAAGACCTTCTAGGTGAACTGGTCACACAGGAGGACTTAGAAGATTCAAGGAAGAAAAGTAGACGTGAAAAAGGCACAGCAGCAATGGAATTAAAGTGCAACTACATAAAATGAGAATAGTATTTACACACATCTGGCTTCCTGAACCTGTCTCTCTACAAAACAGTTCGCTACCACACTAATGGTACAAGCCAGTTCATCTGTCACCAGTTGCGTGGAGCAGAAGGACTTGATGGGTAATGGGACACCAGAAGAATGTCACAGTCACTGCGAGCTGAAGTCAAAGCTGTCCCTGGGCCCACTCCTTTAGGACAGGGAGCCTGTTTTTTGGCCTTTCAGATCTGTAGCAAGCAGAAATCCTCAGCAAGGTTTCTCTGGCCTGCTCACCTCTACCTTTTTCCTTGTATTTCTGATTAGATAAATATATAAAATCGCAGAGGGATAGTATATTATTTTTTAAGTGAGAAACAGAAAAAGCATCCTTTAGTTCGTTTCTAACACTCACGTGCCATACTATATGCAGCAGAAAGCCAGTGCTCTATCATTAGTCAGTGCACATTTAGTAAAATGTGCAAGTCTGCTTTCTCTTCCGGGGTGTGAATGCTCTTAGGTAGGTGAAGGGCAGTTTCCCAGTGTGTCAACTCATTCAGTGGTAAGTAAATTAGGCAGCACTATTTATTTGTGAGTACAGAAACTGGGGTGTCAGGCCTGGATCTCTGCATTCTACGCTCCTGTCGTGGAATGCAAAATTCCCTTGACCACTTAAGATTAAAAACAGGTTTCACAGAGGTAGTGGGAGCACCAGGCTGCACCCTGGGGGCACACACTCTCTCTCCACTGTGGTAATACCTTAGATTTCAGTCCTTTCCAAGTGGTTTTATGTAATCATACCAGTTTTATTTAAGTTGTTCTATCACAGATGCCTAGCTAGAAATGTGAGAAAAGCGATGCAGCGAGCAAACTCAGTGTCCTCATTAATATTTTTATTCATGCTGAGATAGACAGTGTGGAGGGTTAGTTTTCTAAGTGTAACTGAGACTGGTAGCGTGCTGATTTAGAGCTGCCCTGCTGGTGGCTCAGCTGTGAAGGGAACACTGCCAGCCAGAGGGAAGCTATGCTTCCCAGACACCAGACGGAGCCCCGGGGGGACAAGAGTTTCCTGGGGATAAGCATACACAAGCAAGTGGCTGAACCAATTTTGAAAATCAGAATTGGTTTGCTGTATAATACATTTATCCTACTTTCTCCAAAGTCACACTATTAATATTTTGTTTAGTAATCTTCTTGGGGTAGAAAAAAAAAGCCGAACTGGTCAACAATTGTGTTGTTGTTTGCTTCTACTAGCATTTAAACAGAAAGCGTTTCATTACTTTTAATGAAAACCATAATGGCTTTACAGCTGGTTCTCCATGAAGTGATATCATAATATCTTTTTTTTGATATCATAATATCTTAATAAGTCTGGAAAATTCACAACCACAAGGAAAAAAGTATTCTTACATAAAAATTAATGGTGTTATGGTTAAGTATGATTGAGTCAAAGGCTTTCTAGTCTGTCCTTTTGGATTTCTTGTGAGGAAACTTAAATTCTGTAGTTTTGGAACTTTCTCATCACTTTTATTTATGTAAGCCTTAGCTTTCGGTTAAAATAAACTGCTTTTATCTATGCACACAGTTTCAGCACTAGAAACACGATAAACATACAGAAATACACTGAAGCAGATGTAGCAACCACCCTTAGACCAGTAACCTAAAAAAATCTTTAAATATAGAATTAACTAATTAGGTTGGCAAAACACAGCAACTGCCTCAAATCCATAGGGAAAAGTTCAGATTTTTTTTTTAGTCTTCCCACATGACTTTGTCATATATTACAAAGATAGATCACTATTAATAAAAGAGGCACTCAAAATCTGTCACAAGAGAATGTGAATACGGGTGGTATCCTGGTGGTTGCTATGGGAGGGGCTGACTCACAGCAGATTTTTAAGGCGAGGTGGCTTTGCAGCTGGAGGGGTGGAGAGTTGGGGGGTTGTCCCCTCTAGGTCCCTTGGAGGTAGCTACTTTCCATCAAGGTTTTCTAAAATCATATACTGTCTCAGACGACAGCGCTGTCAGTGTGGTTTTGTGGCTCCTGTTAGATGACAGCCAGCATTATGGATTCATGCTATCTTGTTCCTAAGTACAGTTTTCACACTACTGTTAAGCGGGAGCCACACATTTTAAATCAAAATGTTCTCTCCTCTGGAGACAAACAGGGCCAAACAACTGAGCTTAACTTTATCGCAAGATAAAAATGATGGAGATGCCCCAATAGGGGGGAAAAAATCTCAGTTCATGGCTGATTCCGGCTTTCTAGTCTACAGTGTAACTATTTTGCACATTTGTTCATTTTTAAAGATATCTGTTGTCAGGTCTGTTTGTTCTTTTACTCTACTTTTCATGGCCCTTGCAACTTAATCATTTTGTTCCTACAGAAGCCTTTTTATTCTATTAAAAAAAGCTAGAATTATATGTCCAACTTATAATTTTTGTGATAAGCAGTTACAAAAATGTCCCCAGCTTGGCATGTATCAACTTATTGCCATAACAGAAAAACATAGCTGATACTAAAGTGAAATCACTGAATTTTACTATTGTTGTCTCCGAAAATTAATTTGAGGGCAGAATGTATTTAAGTGAAAATCACCCCAACTCTACTTTGTGTTACTCAGTGCAGAAGTTCAAGCACTTTGTCAGTAATGAACCGTCCCTTTGGGGGGCCCAAGTGAATGGCTATGCATTGATAGACTTGTCAGCTTTGAAGAGTCAGACCCCTGAAATCTTCCATAATCAAAAGCTTGGCCTGGCCCTGGAACAAAGGCCAGGCTTCTCTATACTTAAAGGCCAACGAACACAGCTTGGAGCAGGGGGAGGAACAACCTGCTCATGCAGACATGGGTGGCTTGAGGACGGGCAGGCTTAATGGCAGCCTTTCAATTGCAGGGGTGGCTCCAGGACTCTATTTCTGGCATTTCTGATTTACAAATTATGGGAAAAGAATCTGCAAACTTTCTAAAATTAAATTGTTTTCTCCATTGGCAGATGGATGGACTTACATCAAATAATCCGGGAGTTCAATTGTTGAAGAAGGCTCCACGGAGGCAGTGTAACCCTCTTTAACTCCTAGGAAAGAGAAAACAAATTTAGAGCATTCACCAACCAGCATGGTTATCAAATGCCTGTAATTCAAAAATAGATTAGAAACATCTGGAACACTTTTCCTCAAATTCTATTCTTCCATCTCAATAAGCAACAGTGAGCAAGGAATACAATTGAACACAAACAATAGAGGCCCTATGACCAGCGCCAGCAGAACTGACGCCAGGCATTTAAAGCACCCTGGCTACTGCAGTGTCTGCACAATAAAGGAATTCCATCTTAACCCAAGGTCAATCTTCTATTCTTTCAACAGCAGTTGTGGCATCTGCCCAGCAATTCAGAGACTGTGGTGGCAGATGCAGCCACACAATGGTAGATACAGATTTGACATCAACATCTACTTTTCATGGGATTCAAACACGGCGGATGAGACAGTAACATCAGGTAACAGACTGCTTTGGTCACTGGATTTTTACTGCCAACCTTTTTTGTATGCAGACAGTGGAATTGGGTAGGAAGCTTTTCCATCGGTTTAAAATAAGGTATTACTGAATGTTGATTTATTCTCCTTTAACCTCTGGTCCTCATAACATGAAACAGATTTCTTTTAAGAACCTCACCCCTAAAGGAAAATCCACAGAAAAACAAAAAACCTCCCAAATCCCTGTCAGTCATGACGATGCTGTTACACTGGGTACATTTTCAATATTACATTTACAATGTACCATTTTCAAGGGCTATGTTTAGATCTTATACTAGGATAATCTTTTTTTTATCATTTAAAGTAAAGCTAAGCTAATAACTACAGCCCTAACTTGCCTGTTAGCATAATGTTTATGTCTGCTATAAAATAAACATGAATATCTATTCACTCCTTAGTCTAGTATTTTAAATGTCAAAACACACTAAGTTACACAGACCTGGTGGGCTTACAAAGGTCCATACATGTGATTCAGGCTTGGGTACAAGGGAAGGATAATTTGCTCTCTGCCACAGGTGCCAGGGAACAGATACAGAGGACCTAGGTTCTGAAAGATATTCTGCATGTCCTCAAGGCAGGCTGCAAAGAGCCTAGGACTGCTTCTCCCGCCAACTCTGAGAACACAATTTTGCTGGAGTCCAGTCCTCCTGGCAGGAGGTGGTGACTCCGGATCACTGTCTGAGGTGGGAAACGTGGACAGTGGAGTGTGCCCAGGAGCCTGGCTGATTAATACTGAACACAGAGTTTTACTTCTTTGTGGCTTTTCCTGACTTGACAAATTCAACCATCGGAGTGTTGGGGGGTGGGGAAAGCTTACTCTTACTTCTCAGGCCATTATATAGTATTTCACTGGTCTAAATATTTCAACAGATATGCTTTGACATGCAACATATCCAACCTAGGGCAACAAAGGCACTGTAGTATAGTATTCTACAACTCCCTTGCAAGCACCACTGAAAAAATCAGAGCTCCTCTCACAGAGCAAAAATGGTGATTAAAAGTAGGGGTTACGGTTTTCAGTGTTATGGACAAAACACAGAAAGTCAACACTCTTTCAAACTGTAATTAAAACGCTACTCATTAAGTAACCTTCTTAATGTTTCCTGGGGGATTTTGCCTTAGCTGTCCTGAGTTTAAGACTGGCTGCAGTGCTAACTGACGGACTTAGATCTTCTATTTCCTGGAACATGAGACATTATATTTTAGAGGAGTCTGTTGTTGTTAAATAAGGAAAACCTAAGTTTGCCATTAGATTTTAAACATCAATACACTGCAGGTAAGCAGTCTTCCTGCAGATTAGCTTTTGTTTAGAGTCATTAAAGTATTATTTTGAGTCTTTAGATAGCTGGCCTCTAAGCTTTCTCTTAAAGCCTGATGTGGTTAATTTTCCAAAAGCCTGAAGTATAAATTTTAATCACAATTATGCTGATTTACTAAAAATTAAGAAACCAAAACAAAAAACCTTTAAGCTTGATCAGGCTAATAATAGCCCACAATTTTGCAAAAGGTGAATTGTTTTCACTGCAAATGAAGATGATGCTATATCTCTGCAAATGTAATTTTATCTTGCGTATTTTATAAAGAAGTTGACATTTCCTTATGCTAATATTAATTAAGGTAAGGGTGACACTGTTTCTTTAAGAAAGGAAGGAATATTTCTACTGTTAATTATGTCTGGTGAAATCAGTTCAAGAATTGGCATATCACATTCATACTGAAGTCCACAAGATCTTAACAAGTAAGGAAAAGAGCATCAAAGTCCACTTCTAAAAGGGAATCTCTGGGAGGATATAAGGTCATTTTCAAATGTCATTATCTTATTAACAAATAGAGAAATCTTTATTTGGCTAAAAAGAGACAAAACACAGCAGTAGAACGAAGGTAAGTTCTGCTCAAGAGTATAATACTAATAGTTAAACAGAAAGTCATTTGCTTACAGAATGTTATTTATTTAAAACATTCGGGGATCTCATGACCTTATGCCTGGTGCTGGTGCTGCTGAGCTAAATCCCCAGACCTTAAAAAAAATTATTAATTCTAAGCAGAATAATGTCAAATTCACGACATTTTGCACCTCGAGTTCCATTAACACAAGAAGTCAGTTTTTTTTTACAGTACCTTCACTGGAATTCAGACTGGAATTATTCAGCTTGGCAATTTCCTCTTCTTCTTGAATGTCTTCTTCCTTCTCTTCAATAGTCTCAATATCATGCTTTTTTATTTGGTCCTTTTCCTTGTGTTTTTTAGACTTCTTTTTGGACTTTTTGTGAGACATTGAATGGTTTTCTTCCATAGGCTTTGGACACTTGAGTAGAACTGAACCAGGGGATAAGGTTTCCACAGAAGTCCTAGAGGTATATTTGTCTTGCTGGTCCTCATAGATGCTACCGTTCTGACTAAAACTGTCAACAGGCAGGTCTTGAGTTCCCCGGCCTTCGGGCGTGCTAGGGGAGTTGGAGTTAGAGTGCACAGTCTGCGGTGGTGGGTTGGAAACAGGCAGGTGGGTGGAAGGCAGCGGCGGGGGGCTGGGGATGGCAGCGGCTGCGGGAAGCGGCGGGAGGCTGGCGGCGGACTTTTCACTGGTGGGGTTCACATGACCATTTAATGTTGGTGGTACTCTACTTGTCAGGTGAGATATTCGAGCTTTTTTATTCATTAAAGGATCAATAAAATCTGATTCTAAAGGCCGTTTCTGAGAGGGAAAAAAAAAAAAAGATCCAGCTTGTACCAAAATTCAGTAAATTCAATAAATGTGTGATTGGTTAAACAATTGAGCAACCTTACTCATAACTAACCTTTCTCCAAGCTTAAGCAAAAACAAAACTCTACAATGACCCCAAATCAAAGCAACACAATGAAACCACAAGTAGAATAAATTTTCATGTCTAATGTCAAAAGCAAAGTCTGGCAAGTATACATCTCTTTGGAGGGTTTATTCAGTGTTTCCCGGTCACTCAGTCTCATCCTAAGAACATAAGCATTTATGCAATCTCTGTGGATGACCACTCAGGAGGGTACTACACACAGGCAGCATCTGCAGTGCTGGCTGCTGCTGGCCGAATCCTATTAAAGGGGAGGGGAAGTAACCGGTGCCTGAGGCTGGCAGATCTATAAGGCTAGGCAGGAGGCAGCACGCCGATGTCCACTTAATGTCTGATGTGCTGAAATGCTCCAGGTATGAGTATTTGAGCTGCTGTTTTTCATTTCAGCTGTCTTGAATGGGAAGTCAAACTTTTCAGAGCAATTTCTCTATCCCTATCATTGCTGAAATGCGGTTGCAATTTTTTTTTTAATTCTTAGATATCTCTTCACCATATTATAACAAGTATTTATATCTGGTCCACTAAAGAAATGTAGAAACCCTTTATAAAAAGAACCTTGAAAATATCAGCTCAGTTTAATAATATCAATAGTATTTAAGTTGAAAGGGGAGCAGATACCCCAAAGTATAAAATATAAGTCCATATTTATGTGTAAATGGACTACTGTGGCTTATATTTGAGGTTGAAAGAAAATAATAAATCCATTAGTTTATTCTGTTTTTAATTTAGCACCATTTATTTGGCACCTGCTCTGTACTTTTTTTTTTTTTTTCTTTTTCCTTTTTTTTTAATCGGTACCAGGGATGGAACTTACAACTGCCTGCTTGCAAGGCAGGCGCTGATGCCGCTGAGCTAAATCCCCAGCCCCACCTGCTCTGTACTTTGATCAGAGAAGCAGGAGCTTGGCATCTAAGGTGAGGCTTCCCCAGACAATGCACATGCAAGGACAGAACACCCCCACTTCCACATCCTGTGTGGTAGGTTTCTAACACATCCTAGTATGCCCTTTGCGTTGGACACGCTTACTGTTCTCCACACTCTGTCTGCTGTTCCCTATTTCTTAGGGATAGGGTTCAGGGACAGAGAGTGCGACAGGAGACAAGGTCGTTCCCGTGGTCTGTGCAAAGCACTCAGGACACTGAAACTCTATCACTCTTTCAGGCAGCGCTGCACCGCCTGACCCAGTATGCTCAAACTCCAGCACTGCTGGGGAGCACCCCATGTTTTCTAGGAAGGATGGCTCTTGTGGGGAAACTAAACTGGAAGTCTGATTAGGAGTATCCTGGTTCAGATCCCACTGGAAAGGGCACTTGTTGTTTATTTGCTTATTGCAAACACATTTTCCCCTAAGAACATTTTATTAGAACATGTTTTAGATAAAATTCTCAGATTAATCTACGAATTGGATGCAACTGGACAAGCTGTCTAGTTAATGACCAAACTGAGAAGCAGTAAATCTTATTAGCAAAACATAGACTTTAAAAATGGAAAGCAAGCTCGGTGTGGTAGCACACGCCTGTGGTCTCAGTACTCAGGAAGCAGAGTCAAGAGGATTGCAAGTTTGAGGTGTGCCTCAGCTACGTGGAATTTGAGGTTAGCTTGGGCTATACAGTGAGACCCTGTCTCAAGGAAAAAGAGCAAGGTATGCATTAGGTACTCTGACAAGCAGTATGGCTTTATAACTTCATTATATACCTGAGGAGAGGAGGCAGCATCTCTACTAGAACATACAGGAGATTCTGAACGGCTGGTGCCAGCAGAATTCTGAGATGGATTTAGTTTTCTGTAAAAGACACACATGTTCCAGATAAATAAAGAGAACTTTCAAACGTGCATGATAGAAAGCTCACCCTTACTACTTCTTTCCCATGTCAACAGTAAAGTAACAGTGATTAAAACAATTACTTATTCACATCATCTTTAAAGAAAAAATGGCACAAAAGAACATACCTACTGAGCACTGACTCCAGAGCTCGCCTGTCTGCTTCGCTGTATCCCGGCCAGTCCCGCTGAATCTCCTTGAACACGAAATCCTTTAGCGTATAGGACAGGTCCTTAGGATTCAGGTTGGCTACCTGGCACGTGGTATAAATACAGAATGACAGATGTTTTTGCTGTTTTAAACAGGGGCCATTAGGATTTACAATGAACGTAATTACAGACATTGGCCTTACAGTGACTGCTAATTTTATACATACCAGATCCTAATGAATGCCATTGGACTTCATTTTGGGATGCTAACAAAATAGAGAAAGTATTTTTCCTTGGAGGACCATTTCATTTGCAAAATTTCCAATCAAAAATAAACCCACACTAGAAAAAAATAATGGAGGGAATTTTTAAAAAATCAGTTTTTCTAATCAAAGGGATCCAAAGCAGTTAATTAGCACAATCACTATTTACTTCTTGTCATTACCTCCATTACTTCTGAGTCACAGGGAAAAGTCCTGATCATGTGTATCAAGTAGAAAATAAATGCTGAGTTATAAACTTTCCTTTTAGCTGTCAAGAGAAACTGTCTTTATAAATAGCGTCAATTCTAGAAACCTCCTGTCATTTTCTTTGGGGCAACCAAGTTCAGGTTTGCTGTTTGTGTCTGATAGCTCTCCTGAAGAACCACTTATTAGAAGTCCTTGAAATTCCCCAAAACTAACAAATGAAAACATAAACTTAAAAAACAAAACAAAACAAAAACCAAAAACCCACATAACTGTTATTAGCCAGATGGTTTATTCCCAAGTGTAATCTCTTTCTATCCTTTAAATACAAATCACAGAGTGTTGAGGTCTCTAATCCATTAACTACACAAATGCATGGCTTTAGGTGCTAAACCAAAAGTAATTTTTAAGTTTAGGAAAAAGATATTTCTGTCTGACATTTAGATTAGGAATGGCCTTTTAAATAACTTGACTTCTGTTTTGAAAAAATATTATAAAGTATATAATAATTCATACTTCTCTCATAGCCCAGCGCAATACTAATCTAATACTGAAGTTGTTATAAAGTAGAAAACAGGCTGATTTCAAAATTTAAATTTGCCAGTAAAAATATAAGCCACCAACAAACTTTTTTAAGTGGAATAAATAGAGCAGTTTTTCAAATTTCAAATACCCCCGACACATGTGGATACTCTGCCTCCTGGTTCCATACTGCAGAATGCTCAGTGCTTTTCTTCTGCCTGTTGCTTTTACTCTGTCTAAGATAATGGTAGTATGTTCATCTATCTATAGATACTCCACTGAACTGATACAGAGAAATTACAAGAAGAAAGTAATCCAAAAATTAATTTTCCAAGTAATTTTTTTCCTGTTTTGTTAATCTAAAATAGGGCAATGCCCTTTTATTTACAATGCTCATTTTTGCTGAGCATAGTACTACACACCATTAATGCAGACACTTGGGAAGGCTGAAGCAAGAGGACTGCTTAATCCCAGTAGCTTAAGTCCTGCCTGAGCAACACAGCAAGACCCTGTGCCAGAGGGGAAAGCAGTGAACATCTTAAGTTACTTAAAAAACCTATTATTTTGATAAATTAACAGTGCTGAAAACTAGTATATAAACAACAAATCAGCAAATATATCTGTTGGCTGTACAAGGCAGGACTTAGCACTTTAGGTACTTGTTGGCCAACTAGTTTGTATTGGATAGAACTACCAATTTTTGAATGATTTGTACTTTTTTGCTATACTTGGTTTTTTCCCTTTCATGGCTGATTTGGTCACTTTCACTGGAGCACAAGTTATTGGATGTAGGCTGTTAGATGTGTGCTAAGGGAATGTTTTGATTTAAGTCCAAATTCTGAATATGCTGTAATTATCTTCCTTGAGAGGATTAAGTGAGATTATCAATGTAACCATGCCCCACAAATAATAGATGTTATTAGTGCTTATAAGTGTATTTTCACTAGGCCGGTGGTTTTCAGCCCATATTACACATTAGAAATTACTCAACGGCTTTACACAATATTGGTCCCCAGGGTCTATTTTCAGACCCTTGGATTTAGTTGGTCTGGGGTGGAGTTCCGGCATTGCCATTTTTCAAAAAGCTCTCTGGGGTATTCTAACATGTATCCAGGACGAGACTACACTCTAGACTCTACTGAGCGACCCGTACTTTAACGACTTATTTCTCACTTGCTCAGGGTCAAGCATGTTTACAGTTTTAGATGTCTGTCTGTACACAGATAAACGATCATGAAGCTACCGTCATCTGTCAGCAGGAGCCTCTTTGAGAACCATCTCTGTCATCATCATGCCTTCCCCATCTTCAAATCAGAGGGTAATTCACAAGATTTCTAAAGATGCAGCTACCAAATATTTTATGGTAAAGACTGAAAACACTCCTTTACCCCCGTTTTTTTCTGTCATCCTTCCATTTTGGTCTCTTAAAAATGCTACGTGACCTACGAATTTAGACTGCTTCCAAAAAGTGTTCAATGGATTTAATAAAAATCCTTGCTACTGACCAAAGTGTCTAAGAGATTTGTTAATCCTAAACTGGATTTCATGACATTTTATATTATGCTTTAATATAACAAATAATGAGAATTAGGCTGTTAAAATGTTATTCTTTGAACGACAGATGACAATTTATAGGTGTTTTTTAAACAATGGAATTTAAGAATAATTTTGAAATGTTACTGCTCTAGAAAAAGAAAGATAAAGATGGACCACTCTGGTGGATCTGAATGTTAACTGACATTTCTGACCTGAGTTGGTATGAAAAAGTATACTAATTCACACTGTGACAAATCCTGACTTTATTAAAAGCAATGGCCTACTTCTATATGTAAGCTTATGACTTTAAGGTGACTAATGACAGCTCACACTTTGCACATTTGTGTCCTTTAATACAGCAAACGACCCATCTTGGTGCACCAAGAGGCAGGAAAAAGGCACGGAAGTAAGGGTAACGAGCAGCATGAATGATGCTACTAATTAGGCAACAATATTCCGGCCTATACCAACTGGAGACCAACAGAATACATCGCACAGCTTTACATAAACCAATGAAAAATAAAGTTAGTTTAGGTGACTCAAGACTAAAAACAGACAATACAAACTTCTTCCTTACTTTTTAGTGGAATTTTAAGGCAAAATTAGTTTGACCCATATAAAGACATCACCTACATTTTAACTAGTTTTTAATTAAATGCATAAAAAGTTGATTTAATTTAATCATCAAGAGTTGTTTTCATATACAACTGAAAACGACCCTGAAATGTCTCTGTCTCAATAGTACTCATGACAGCAAGAATGCCACTAAGTGAACTCTCAGGGAGAGGGGTAAGCAGAAGGAGCTGGGCCCTCACCTGTTGCAGAATGGCTCCCAGGGAGTTCTTGTCTTTCTGATTGACTCCGTCTTTCTGCAGTCGGGCCAGCAGCTCGGGTTTCTTGTAGGCCTTGAGGGCCAGTAAGTGAATCACTCTGTCCCTGTATGGCCGCTGAGAAACACTGCTGCTGCCATGTGCCTTTCGAATTGTGTTTGCAGGGTTCATGGGGGTGGACCTTTTCCTTTCAGGCACTGCGTCAGCGACAGCTTGAGGTGCTTTCCGAATCTGCACTCTTTTCCCTACAGTCCAGTGGAAATGACAGAGTTATGCATTTGAAGGTTACAAAAGCCTCCCAATTTCCACAACTGTGATTTAGGTAACTCTTCAATTCTGGAGGAATAAAGTACACTGTATTTCAATTCTTTTTCTTTAAAAAGACATACAAACAAAGCATTCTAAACAGATGGCTTCCAATATGAATTAGGAATTTTTGATGGGCTCGTTTCTTGGAATAAATAGGTATTATAGATGGATTTTGGCCACTTGACTATGCATGGATAGTAATTAGTGACACAAACTGTAATAGACTAGAAACCTTTAGTCTGCAGGTTATTCGATGTTAAATGGAAATAAAGTGATTCCCATGCTCACCTGTGCTATTTACAGAACTTACATCTGCATTTCTGAAAAGCAGATATGAATACAGTGAACATGGTGAAATGTAAGAACCTCTTCAGACCCCACTCTTGGCAAACCTAGGATTTTAGTTTATTAATTTCAGATTCAGAAGCTGTAAGCAGGAAAATCTATAAATACTAACTAGAATTATTTCTTTTCCTGTTTCCTGAAGCAAATTTTAGGAGTCGAGAAACAAAACCAACCAACCAAACAAGCAACCAACCAGCCAACAAACAAAACAATCTCAGAGGACCGAACAGATCTCTCCTCTGTGGAGCTGGATTACATAGATGAGTTGGAGGAATGGAAAATGGTACAAAGGAGGCCTTTACACCATTTGTGCATGGGCTGGTACCATTCATGAAGGTGATTCATTTTCTGCTTGGACTGAGCACTGACACTTGGCAAGTGTCTACTTCTGGAGAATTTTTGTGGGCTGCAGTGACCTGGACACTCGTGTGTGTGTGTGTGTGTGTGTGTGTGTGAGAAGCTGGTGCCTGAAACCCCCTGTACCCATCCCCTCTGAAGGAAGAAGAAGAAGGAACATGAAATTTGCAACACCTTCATTTTATGATTTCTGGTTAGACTGTTTTAGTTCATTTAGTAAACATGAAGCCCAGCTCCATGCTCTGTGGTTACAGTGGGGGAATAATTGGCAGTGACATGTGATGTGGGGTGATTACTTTAAGAACAGGACTAACAACAAGGAACAATAGGTATCTAAAAGCAACTTCCATGAGCTATGAATCAGCTCACCACGGCAGAGCTTTCCTGAACACTAACTGTGTCCATTCTGGGTTTCCTGGCCCTGTTTTGTTTGTTTGTTTATTTGTTTTGGAACATCATCCTACTTTAAGAGAAAAACTGAATATTCTTAGGAAACTTTTACCAGCTGGTTTGTTTCTTTACTATTTATATGTAACTGATTACAATGATCAGATCAAACCACAGTACAGAAAAGGAACTCAATACTAAGTGGACACTGTCTCACAAGCAAAACTATTCAATTAAATTACTTGGTTTTAGAGACAGACAGGTCAGGTTTGTGTTCTTCATGACTTAGAGACAGCTAGATCAATGATGGGAAGGGAGCTAATATTTATTATGCACCAATTGTGTGGGGAGCCACTGAACTAAGAGGGTCACACACATTACGTCACTAAGGCTCATGGTCATTGGAAAAGGTGAACACTGTCTTCACCTCAGTGAAGAGGTCTGAGGCTTTCAGTGGGCTCTGTGCAGACGTACAGTGCTCGCTTCGTGTATGGGAGGTTCTGGGGTTAAGAGACCCCAACCTTCTCACATGCACTTCTTTGTGGGGATGATTCTGTGGACGAATCCTTAACTTTCTGCTTCTTGCTGCTTGTGAGACTATGGGCTCTATAAGGACAGGGCAGTGGCTGCTTACTCCACCAGCTGAATCTGAATGGGTATTTGATGACTAAGTGAATGACAGTGAGACAGCAAATAAGCAGATTTGTCCACAGTGCCTGAATGCAGGAGCCAGAGGACACACTGAAATCCCCAAGGTGGTTGTTTTTTCCCTTTTCTGTGATGCTGGTTATTGAATCCTGGAACTACAAGATATATCCCCAGCCCAATTTTTCTTTTTCTTCTTTTCTCTTTTACTCTCAGTCCTTAAAAAAAAAAATTATCTTGAGACAGTCTTGCTAAGTTGCCAGGCTGGCCTCAAACTTAGGATTCTTTTGCCTCAGTCTCCCAAGCAGATGGGATTTTAGGCATTCATCACCAAAGTGAAAAGCAACCTACCATTTCTCAGTTATCAGAGTGTTAATATTAGATTCTTTGAAAATTTAATAGAAATTGTGGAAAAAAAAAAAAAACAGGGTTATGTTCATAAAAAGTTAGGAAATGCCATAAATTCCACACTTGCCAAGTCTTGCAGAAGAGAAAACTATTTAACTCACTCTTTTCCAGACCAAGCTGACTGGCTATTTAGAATGAATCCGGGTCAACAAAGCAAACACAAATAAAAACAGAAAGCGACAGAACTGTTGCCTGCTCTCCTGCGAGCCTGGGTCTCAGAAGGGCCCTGCCCTCTGAGTTTACCATCCTCCAACCCCAAGGAGCAACCAACAATAAAAAAAGAAAAAAAGAAAAAAAGAAAAAAAGAAAAAAAAAAAAGGAGGCTAACTGTCTGTAGGAGGACAATGTGTATATTTGATTAAAAAAAATTAGTCAGCTCCGGGGAGGACAGAATTGGAGTCTCACCTGAAGCCTGGAGCCAGGATGCGATCTCCCTCGGAATGCTCCACCCTCAGCAGACTCACTTCACCTTTTTCCTAATTGTCCTTTTACACAGCCAGTTATGGTGCAACTCATTTTTGTCAGATTCTTCAAAGAACAATCCAACCCCTAGGAACTACTGAATTATACTCAAAGATTACCTGCTCATGAACTCCTCACCCTTTTTTGTGCTTATTCAACCAGGGAGGCCTTGGCTTTAAGAAAAGACAAACTGTAGATGACAAAAATATTAGGGATGTAAAGATTTACAGGCTAGAAACGCTAAGGAAAGGAAAAGGTAAAGCAGGAAAATGTCAGGTTCAAAGGAGGCAGAATGGTTTTATTTTTATTTTTAATATTTGCCTCAGAAAAGCCCTTTTAATAAAGCCCATGGGAGAACCTAATTTTCTTCCCAGACTCAACTGCTAATCAATTCCCCGGGCTCCTTCATCATTAGCAGCAGCAGCAGTGGTACCAACAGGCCTGGGCAGTCTGAGGCTGCGTCGGTGGCACTGTTTCATAACAAGGAGTCGACTTCCAGCTCCTCCTTTCACACGGGCTGGTCAAAGCACTCGGCCCTCAGGCCAGTGGCTCTGAGGGAACAATCTGAAAGGCAGATTTCCCAGCCACTGGGGCAGTCCATCAGAGAGGCAGAGGACTGCATCGTCTGCTGCAGCTTTTCTCTTCTGCAGAACCTGACCGGACGCCCTGGTGACACACTTGTTTCTCTTAGCTCACTGAAAAGAAAGTTTTGTGCTAATATGCTTGCTTCTTCTTTGCAAGAGAGAATCTATTTTGTCTATGTCTTTTACTGTAAGTAAGTACTTTGAAGCTAATGATACACAGTATATTAATTATTGCTATCCTATTAATTAATTGATTTTGGCTTTTTGAGACAGGATCTCAAGGTGGCCTTGGGCTCACTTTGTAGCCCAGGCTGATCTTGAACTTGCAACACTCCTTCTGCCTCAGACTCCCAAGTACTAGGATTGCAGGCATGCACCACCACACCCAGCATATTCTATTATTATTATTACTGTTGTGAAATTTTGATTTATTCATAAAATAAAAAAAACAAAGCAAGTTAGTTAGGTTTATAAAACACAACTAGAAACAGCAGAATCATGACAACAATGTGGTCTCTTCTCTGATTAAACACATGATCCACTGTGAAGGTATCTATTTCTACCACCTGGCATTTGTGATCACCTTTCGAAAATGTATAGATATACCTAACAGACACAAAATGTTAAACTACAAAGGGCTTTAGATATGGTCTACTTCAAATCTTCCTCCTTTACTACTGGAAAAAATTATGCTGGTACGTGCTAACCCATCAAAAATAAGGAGACCAGGGTAGAAGCTGGGAAAACTGGAAACAGAATTTTATATATTAGGTTCATTCATTAGATAAATTTTAATAAACATAAGGATTTGCAATACAATAAAATTCTATACTTTAGTAGCCAATGAGTAGTCTAAATGCTGGGGAACCAGGATTTTTCTTAATCAAAGAGGAGTTGGAACAACTTGGTAATGTTTACCACTGACATATAAGTGTCATAGCCAGAGGTGAAACGAGAAATGAGAGTACTATTCCTAGGTAATGTTCTCTCTGGCTCCTGCCTAGGTGAGAGATTTGACTTTTCCCAGCCCACAAGAGGGAACCAAAAGTCCCTATTCCCTTTGACCTCTAAGACCCTAGCAAAACTGTCGGCTCTTAAGCCGGGCTGGTGCCCACACCAGGTCACCACAGCATCAGTAACCTCTGCCTTCACCCAGGCTGAATCTGTTGAAAGAAGCCTTGTTCAGCAGGTACCCAGGCTGGTACCAGTGAGGTCTGGTATATGTGTATGGTATAGTCAATTATGAACGAAAGGATGATCTCCTGCAGTTTCAGGAAGAGAACACAACACGTTCCTGAGGCCAGGCCCACAGCATTTGCTATTTTGCAGGTTCAAGGACTTGATACATAAAATGGAGACATGTCCACAACCGACTTCACAGACTGCATTCAGATGAGTACACGTAACGTGCCAACCACGCCTCGTATACAAGGACTCAGGAAGTGCTGGAAAACAGTGTTAAATGGGGCCTGACTAACACTGAAAAGAACTGAATGAACCAGACAGCTCTCCGATACTGAAAAAAGCAAGAAGATAAAAATTATCTGGCTAGTAGGAAAGAAATATGTGGCAAGGGTCTGGCAGTGGATAAGCTTAGAAGAAAAAGATCAAATCAAATGTGACATAACAAAGTATAGTGAAAAAACAGAACAACAGAAATTCCAATCAGGATATTAGTCCTCAGAATTGACTAGACTTTTATTGGAGTTAGGCTGTCCAGTTTGAACATAGGTGAAGAATTGGAGGCAGTCAGAAGTGAACAATAAAAATAATTAAAGGGTTGGGACTTTGTCATATTAAGAAAAGTTAAAAGGAGCTGGACTTACATTCCCCAGAGGATAAAAGGCTAAAGTTAATGGTAAGATTTAAACTCAGAGAAGAGCAGCACTATGACAGTGAGGGGGCAGGTGAGGGAGGACAAAACAGACGAGGAGGCTATACAGGCCAACTGGCTGGCAAATAGCACTCAGGGCTCTGGGGGCAGGACAGTCCTCAGAAGGGCGGAGATGGAATTTGGTTCAGACTTAAACTTTGAAAAACTCAAGTTTTCTGTGTCTACTGTCAAAATTCATATATATCATGCCTATAAGACATCTTGCAAATTCTAGAATTTCTATACCACTAGAAAGTGTACAGCATGTAGAATTTTAGGTATTGGTAAATTTGTTGAACTGCATCTGACCCTATCAAAACAAAACAAAACAAAACAAAACAAAACAAAACAAAACAAAACATTATATATATATATATATATATATATATATATATATATATATAAAACATATATATATGGGCTACTCAGGGACCATTTGATGAAAAAGTGCTGATTCAGTAATCAGTGCTGATTTTCAAACTCTGGTATCAGGCTTGAGTTTTCAGTTAGTGATACTGCAAGGGAAAAAATCACTTCGATAGTTTAAGTTTTATAGTCTTTTGTCATACATATCAAACTGTTCCACTGTTTCTAAAATCGTATTATGGTACAGATTAAAACACTTCCTAACAGGAACAGTTAATTTGTAGTTTGCACCTAATGTAAGTATGGGAGACAGCAAGTATTTTAAAAATAATTTTGAGATTTAGCCTACTAACATAGAAAGCTAATTTACTTATGAGGGGAAAGAAAGAAAGGAGTTTGGAAGTTATCTCATGCTATGGGAAAGAGAAGGAAAAAATCTCACTGCTGGTAACTTACTAGGCATGGAACTGGGCCTCCGGAGTCATGATACCTGGGGAAGCCATGAACTGTTGTTAAACTAAACTTAATGTATCTAAGCTAAGCATCAAGTCCCAGGAGCACTGGCTTTGTTCCAGAGAAATACTTATTAAAGCCACTGGTTGAGTTTCTCAAAGCTGAATGTAAGGCAGTTGGATCAGCAATGGGAAAATACAGATGAAGAATTACACTAAAACTCAAAAGACCTTGACTAAGGGATCTGCTTGTTCAAGAGGCTTTTTGTAAGCATTTAAGTTTCCAAATGCACATCCTTTAATCATTTACTATAGTGACTTGTTATGAAGCTGACCAGGGCCTCAAAGAGCCCATCCTGACTCTTGATTGTTCTATTCCTGTTAATAGTCACCATGAAGTGACTCCTCATAGTTGTCCAGGGCACTGCTCATAAAGAAGACTCATCTTGCTGGGCTGGTCTTCCTTCCCTGCAATCCAGCGCATATTTGAGTGAGCTGATGATAAAGATGACGGGAGTGGGGCGGACTCTTAATTAATGGATACATGAGGATGCAGATTATAATTGTAGCACCAAAGAGTCATCACCCTAAGGCTTTACTGGGATGCTTTGCCATAAACACATTGTACACTTTTGCAATAAAATTTCCGTGTTGTTTGTGAAGATCCTCAGAAAATATAAAATCTGCATTTAATAAGGCTATGTTCTCCAAAATTCAACTCACATATTTTACTGTAAAAACAGCTCTGTGAAAGTGTAGAACAAGAACCATATTGTCCATCACGGAAATTACATCATTCAATGCCAAAGAAAATACAACGGTACCACGGTTGCAACCTCAAGGAACAATGTGAGCAGATTCCAGTACTATAAAATAATAATATATAGACAAAAGAAGAGTCAAGACTAAGGGCCGTCATAAAACTTTCAGATCTGTTTTTCAATCTACCGCAGTCTGAAAAGACTAAGTCACTTTTTCGGGGGACTACATTATGCAAAATGCTCTGAAAACTAATCTCTGTGTTCTTACAAAGTTAGCATTACTGGTATTTACCTACAGCGAGCTTGAATTACTCCCATCAATCATCAAGAGGAAGAAAGACATCTATACAAACCTACATATGGTCCACCGGGTTTGATAACTTTTGTGCTTCGGTTGCGGGATTCCTCCTCTGCCTGGGTCATTCTTTCTCGTGTCATCTGATACGAGTCGTTTGTTGCACACACTGTAATTTTATCTTGTATAAATCCCAGGCAATTGAGCTGGGAGGCTCCAGAGCTGTCAAGTAAGACAGTGGCTTTGTTAGAGATAACCCTTATTTTGTACAGTAAAGGCAAGCAAAAAAAAAAATTGTATTATGTTAAAATCAAAAACCTAGATAAATTAAAGATCCTAAACTAATAACTAATTTTAAATGTAGATTGCTTGAAACATTTAAGCTCCTCTTACTCATTGTAAACCACTTTTTTTCATATTTTGAATATAATAGGTAAAATGAGCTTTCAAGAGATCAAATCCATGAATTTTTAAAAAACAATCAGTAGGATGAAAATGAGAGTTCCAGTGGACACTGTAACTCCACTTCCATTTAACAATTAAATATTTTAAAATTGAAACATGATGAGAAATGTTTGACACAATAAATGTTTAGCAGTTTACTTTTAGTTGGTAGCAGTGTGCCTGGTTCAGAACTGACTGTATGAAACATGCTTACCAGAATTTTTTTTAAAATAAGGTACTAGTTTTAAGGCTACAGTACTAATAAACATTAGCACATTATTGATCCAAAGTCCAAATTTGTAGAATTTATAGTCACTACTTTTGTTAAATCTCTGTATAACAAATATGGAGCAAGTGATTCTTGCAGAAATTAAAGGGAAAACTCAACAGAAACAGTCATTGAAGTTTAGTATTGACTTCGAAGATGGTTTTGTTTCAAAGTAACATCTTAATATTAGAAGAATCATAACTGGTGTTTTAAAAAATACTATAGGCTTAAAACCAAGTGGAATATAAAAGTAGATTAAGACCCTACAGCTTTGGTCCTTGATTTCCAAACTGAATTGGAAGTAACTCTATTATGATCCAAAGAAATCAAGGTAACTAAAAAATTTTGTAATTTTCTAGTAGCAGTCTTTACAAAAAATCTGTTCACTTACACCATAAATATTTATTGGGCAGGACTGCACGCTAAGTCATATGATAGGAAGAGCCTGTGACAAAGACCAGACATATACGGTTCTTCCTTCACGGAGCTCTTTTCGTGTTGCGTGAGGAGGAGCAAACTGAAATTCACACAGTGCAACAAATGCCAGAAAACAGGGGGACTCCCCTCAATTCCTAGAGTACTTCACTTGGACTTCACAGAGAAATTAATAGCTAACTGATTAGAAAGACGATTAAACAAAGGAGAGGAAGGAGGAAAACCAACCAGGGCAGGCCCAAGGAGAGTTAGTTTTTCAGTTTGGCCAGAGTGAGCTGGAAAGCACAATTAGAGAAGAGGATGAAGAAAACAGGAGAAGTAGATCACCTAAGGGTTTGAGGGTTAATAGTGTGGATTTGAGACTTCACCCCGAAAAGAGAAAAGAGGCTGAAAACACAAAAAGCCTTCATTTTATTCCAGGAAGACTAATCTTTACGGAGAACAGGTGAAGAGGAAGGGGTTGCAAGCCTGAACGGCAGGAGACCTGTTAGCAGGCTACTGAAGGGCTGGGGCAGGCAGTGCCGGCCTGCACCACAACACAGTGGCTGAACGAGGCTCCAGAGGAGGAAAGAGGAGTTGCAGGAGTTGACACAGGTGGAGAGAGAAAAGCATTAAAGATCAAGCACCGAAGTGGATCTACCATTTACGGAGGCACAAAAACAAGGGTGAGTAAGGGGCAGGCTTGGAAGAAAGAAGGCCTGAGGTCAGCATTAGAGATGGTGACTTTGAAGGAATGAGGAGAGAAGGGGCCTTAGAAGTGAATCAGCTGTGAAGAAGTCAATATTTAAACAACAGGAAGAAAAGAAGCAAGACCATGGGACGGAAAAGGTACCCACACAGAGGCAGGAGGCAAAGCAGACAGGTACTGTCACAGGTGCCACCAGAAGTGAGTGCTGCGAGCAGCAGTGTGGTCAACAGAGCTGCATGGAACCTAGGAGCATCCACTGAACTTACGGGCAGCAGAACTTAGTTCACAGCACCGTGGGGGAGCACTGTCAGCTGAACGGTGGGGTTTGAGGCCACACTGTGAGCTAAGAACCAAGTTCTTGAGGGGTGGTTTTAGTGTGTATTTCGTTTTTCAATGAGACAGACTTGAGTATGTCTGAATGCTGAAAGAGAAACAGTGGAAGAGGACAGGAGGCAGGTTTAACCCTCAGAGAAAGTGGGATAGAGTGCAAAGGGGAGGAAATTACTGCAGTACGGTGAAGGTCTAGCAGCAGGAGGTTGGTATTTAGCACCTCTCCGTAATTCATATGGGGGATAAGCAGAACCTACTACCAATCATGATGACACTGCTGCTTCTACAATTTGAGGTCAAGAAACAGATCCTTACATGAAAACAACACAGCGCTTTAGTCCCTACAGGCAAAAGCTTTTCTCTAGGTAAAATTCTCATGTCCTCTCTTCTCAAATGAGTTGCACTGAAAGTAACTCAGTCACCTAAAAGATTTGCACATGTGTCTAAAAATGTTCCTTTCATCATTCTCTGGTCTGGCTCTGGGCATTTCTGTATGCCGTAGGCCATTATTTTTGCTAATCTTGTGGGTAGGTAGATTTAGGATCTTTTTCAAAGGTAATTTTGACAGTAAGAATTCCTCCATTTTATATATGAGAAAAATGAAGTTCAAAAGGTAGGTAAAGAGACTAGTTAACCTACTAATTTGCTGAATTTGTATTTACTAAACATTGAGTTTGGCTGGAACTAAACGATTAGAAAAAGCCCATCAGAAAGCCCCTGATACTGAAGAGTTTGTTTTACTGCAGGTGAGACAAATCTGAGGAAAAATAAAAATTAAACTGAATAGAAATGATGGAGCCAGATTATGGAAAAATTGCTTGTTAGCCTGAGAGTAAAAATTTGAGCACATTTGCTTAGAAAGTGGCAAATTTTACTATCGGCCTATTATAAAACATCTTGAATTATACTGAAGGGATAGCAATAATTGTGCCTCAACTTTATCAAATAACTGGTTCTATTTTCTAGCTGTTTTATGGACAGTTTGGTCAGATTTTAAATCTCTCTCTAAATAAGCAGGGTAGAAATCAATACCCAAGGTATTAAATAGGGACAATACTTAGGATGATCTGACTGGATTTGATGAGGGGATTCAATTCCGACCTGATGTCAGAATGTTCCATTACAATAAAATACCTACAGACCAGCACTGCAGCTGAAGCCCTGCTATCAGACCACTGTGCCCTGCAGCCGTAGGAAAGCTGGCCTGGGGACCAGGGGAGCTCCTTCACTAAGCTCATCTGTTAAGTGAAGGCATTCATCTTGGGTCCTTACCCTTGGTGACCCTGCAATCTATTCCAGCGCTGTACGGCAGAGCTTTTGCTGGGAATGTTGTACATCTGTGCTGCCTACTGTGACAGCCACATGTGGCTCTGGGATGGTAAAATGTGGCCAGTGGGAATCAACAAAGGAATTGAAAATGTTATCTAACTTTTATCAGTTCCACAGTAAATAGTCACATGTAGCCACTGGCTATTGGACTGCCATGAAGAAAAAGCTCTCCAATCCACGATATAGTCAATTCATATGAAAAACGTGTTCATAGGAACTAATTTATAGAAAGCAAAATTAACACACACGCAGGGGAAATTATGGATTAAGTTAAAAAGAAACAAAAGTACTTGGCCATATTAATAGGAAGAAAATTTTAGAATGCCTTCAGTGCTGTGCCTTACTTTGTTAGCCCTGTCTCCCTTCTGGCCTGAATCACAGCTTCCGTCCCTGCTTTCTCCCAGGGACAGTGCGGCCGCTCCATGTCAGCTGCTGCAGGGATGGGCCACAGACGGGTGCCAGGCCTCAGAGCTTGGAGCCCATGTCAGGAAATTGTACCCTGAGGAAGTGAGAGCCCCCAACTCGCCCTGTCTTATCCAGGAGCAGAAAGAAACTTCCTACAAGGGCCCATTCTTCAGTCAGAAACAACAAAAGCAAAGCACAGGGAAGCAAAGGGCTGACTGTTTCCCGAGGACCTCAGTGGACAGGGCTCCATGGTACCCGTGTGAGTATATGTTCTTGTCTTCATTTCTCCCTTTCTTTCTCTCTTTCTTTTAAAGGAGAAAAAGTGACTGCTGTACCTCTATGTAATATCTAATTTCCATCCTGCTGTGAAATAAGATTTTTAAAAATCTACCTTCAAACAAGGCTTGAACTGGGAAGCTGAAAAAGGGCAAGATGTGTATTTTTTTCTTATCCAAAGGTAACTTTGAATGTAAGCCTTAAGTACCTTCATTTAAATGCAAAGAGTAAAACCTTTCCAAAAAACACAACACAACAAAACAAAAACCTCTAAAATGAATCCAAGAATGATAAAAAAAAAAACTTCAAAAATGTAAATTAAAAACTCCTTGTTGGGTGTGGTGGTACCCGCCTATAACCCAGCATTTGGGAGGCTGAGGCAGGAGGAGCATCATGAATTTGAGGCCAGCCTGAAATGCGTAGCAAGACCTTATCTCAAAAAACCAAACTAAACCAAACAAAAAAGAAACAACTCCTTATTTTAAAACAATATATCTTCTGCACTTAATAACTGCCTACCTGAAAAGAACTTCGGAATATTTGTGTTCATATCCTTGCGACAAATATAATGTCCAGTATATAGTAGTAGATACTTACTGTTTTTCAAATAAATGATCTCTGCAATGCAACTCTATAAACTATTTACAGAATGACTAACATTTATTTGATTTTTTTTTTTTAAAACACTGTTATGTAAAACCTTTGCCCTCGGCATACCTTGCAAAGCACTTACCTGGAGAAAGTCTGCTGGATGCAGTCAAAGCTGCCCTGAGGGTTGTCTTTGCCCACATTTGACAAATAGAAGTTAAAGGTATGCACTTCGTTGAGGGGATCATGTTTGGGAATTTTGACAAGCTAAAAGAGGGGGAAAGAGAGAGACACCTCAAATTACAAATCTGCCCCAGAAGATCTTATGACAAACTGGTTTGACAAGTGAGTTATTTTATAACCTTGATATTTAAGTGACCAAATACAGAACCTGACAAGCTCACCTGTATCTCACATTTTCATTTCCATTTTCTACCCTTTAGTGTTCCTAGTCACTTCTGCTGAATAATTGCCCTATGAAAGGAATCTTCTTTGTTTCAGATAAGCAAACTTATTCCAGTACCCATGCAAAGGTTATTAGTAAATTTGCTATCAAGTTCTTTCTCCTTTGAGCTGCACAAATTCTGTCTATAACTGATATAACTCCCTGCAGAATAGCTTCAGTATTTGAATGGTCTTTGAGATACAGGCAATATCCTAATCTTTTGTTCTCTTAATAAAAACACATTTTATCTTAATTTTTGCTTCCCAGAGGAGTATTTGTGAGGAAGAATAACAAGAGCACAAGGTTAATGTCCTAATTACAGACAGAGGTAAAAGGCAACTGCAGTGTTTCTTCTTGTCCCGCGATTCCTGATTCATCCTCCTATTTACATGACACCACCAGCAGCCTATAGAGAGGCTCTCACAGGCCAGCCCCGGGCTGGGCCCCAGGCAACCTGCAACCTGCAACCTGCTGATGTGTCTTCTCCTTTCTTGCTTCAGGTCTAGTTTTCCTACTAGATAAGAAGCCCCATAAGTGAAGCCCCACAAGTGAAGCCCCACAAGTGAAGGGACGGTTTCTCTAGGTGACCAAAGCCCCATTTCATATGGGATTGAGCCTAATAAGACTGTTAGCAAACTGCAATCTCACTCTCCAACTGTACCCCCATGTTAGCACCTGACACTCTTCTTCCCTTGAGTTTGCAGCTGTTGCCATGGTATAGGTGGTGAAGCTGTTCCCCGCCCTCTTTCTCTAGTAAATTACTAAAACCATGCTTGGGGGCTGGAGATTGGGAAACCACATTTTACAGATGTGCCAACAAATCCATTTTCAATCATCACATAGCACTGCTAAAGATCCATTTTTCTGGAAATCTGTTTTTTCTTCTGTTGGAAGCTGAAGAAGCAGAGCTAACTGGTGATAGTGTATGTGATGCAGTCATGAAGGTGCTAGCGGGCACCAACATGTGAGGACACCCTGCAGCCCCTGACCTAATGCATTTGATGACTCACAAACTGTGGCCTGTAGGAAAGACCTGCAGGTACCATCTTCAACCCCCAGAAGCTGAAGAAGAATGGTAACAAGGGAGATGACTTGTAGTATTTACACATAGCAGGCTTCTAATAAACACTTACTGAAGAAATGAATGTAAAAAGACAGGAAGTCAAGGAAAAACACCTCTTCAAAGGAGATTCAGAAGACCTTTGTATGGAGCTTTGAACGATCCAAGTTTTACCAAAGTTGCTATTAGAACATAACCGACAGGGCCTCCCACTATCCATGATTTTAAACCATCTTTGATTCCAGATCACAAATTAGTACCAATTCCTAGAAAAACAAGTCCCTACATTTATTACCTATTCTATAAATAGTATCTCTTGGGGATTCTTACAGTTACTCTTTAATTCTCCCCAATTTCTTCCAGTTCTAAAATGCTGTTACTTTGTGAACAAGTCTTAATTTACTTTGTCTGCAGGTACTCATCAGGCTGTCTTACTGGGTATATAACCCCACACCTAGTTGGCACATACTGCAACCTCTTAATCTCATAGCAGTGGGGAGAACAGGAGGAAAAGGAAAGCTTATGTTAATGGCAGGGGAAGCCAAAGGTCATGTGTCTGCTAACAGCATCACTAGTGTCTGCTTTGGGGTCCTGCTGACACTGAAGGAATATGCAGTATAGCCTAAAGCCTCCCTAAACCTTGGGAGAGGAGAAAGAAAGGCGGGAAAGACACCTGGATGAAACACCTTCCCAGCCACGACTCCTTTCACCTCCATCTATCTTTTCTGCTCATCCTCTACATCAACCTGCAGAACATGGTTGGCAAGATTTTCATAGTAGCCGTGGTCTATTTTCTAAGCGTGACTGGACTCTATATTCAAGTTCTACAAATATACATTATTCTTTCACTGAAAACTTTTAACTTAATTACTAGAGTCCTTTAGCTCAGATGTCTGCTAAGAGCATTACAGGAAAACTCCTAAGCAAACTTCAGAGTCAGTATAAACTTTTCTTTTCTCAGCCTCCAAACCACCCACTCTCTCAAACTTCTTAAGCAATACTTATACTTTTTAAGGTGAAAGAAATATCTTCTGAAACATCTTTTCATTTTTTAACACACAGATATATAATTCTTGTCTAAATTCAGAGAGTTTGATACAAAAGCATCTTATACGAAGCAATCACTGTGCATACTCAACATATTAGGGACTCTCCTGATGTCTGGTATTAAAGATTTTCATATTTTCATTCCTTCAAAGTGTCTTCAATAGAAAAATACTCTACAGTTGTTTAAAAAATATGATAATGATCAGAATAGGAAAGAATCAGATTAGAAACAAAAATTTTAAGTACATTTAACCCATATTATGTACCTACTAAGCTGTTTAAAAGTTTGTGATATACGTAAGACTAGAAAACTCGTTCTCAACAAAAGGTCACTGGCCACCGCCCACCCCTCCCATGCCAAGGGACATTCTGCTTAGGAGGGAGTTACAGCATGTGCTGGGAAGCGAAGCCAGAGATATTTCCTAACACCCTACAGTTCCCAGGCGAGTCCCAATAATGAAGAATTGCCCAGTCTGATGTGCCGTAATGGCACGGGTTGAAAATGTCTAAATGAAGGAGATATAGGTCAGTGCCTAAAGAGAGAAACCAGACTTTGGAGTTCCAACTTTACCCCTTTTATTTCAAATGGGAGGGGCCACTCTAACTTTATATCAGACACTCATTCCAGTTAGTTCTGTAACTTCCAATAAGAGGAAATTGAAAAGCACCCTGAGTGCACAGAGCCATGATGGCTACACATGGGTTAAATGTGATGTGGTGGGCAGGGTGGAGGCTTCGGGATCTGCCTGGGTTGGTGAGACACAGTTGTGGGAATATCTCGACAGGTTATGAAGGTGTGACTCTGCGCCTACCTCTGGTCCCTGCCCCCTTCCCTTTATACACTGCTCCCCTTTTCCGCTTTCCAGACCTCATGAGCTTAGCTGTTGCTACCCCACAGCCTTCCACCATTATGTTTCTGCCCTAGAGCCCGTTAACCATGGACTGAAACCCTGAACTGCAGGCCAACTTAAGCTTCTCCTTTATATCGGTAGGATATAAACAGAAAGCTGACTAATACTTGTGGTTCACGTATACTTACTTGCTTTTCAGTTTCCTCTCATTGGAAATTATAAAACTTAAGGCAAAGTTCAAGTACATAATGAATTGTTTAATACTGTATAAAGACATTCTCACTAACTTGTAGGAAAAGATTAAAGTATTTAAAATAGAAAAAGATTAAAGCATTTAAAATAGAAAAGGATTAAAGTAGAAAAAGATTAAAATATTTTTTAAAAATTGAGAAAATTCCTAACTCACCAAGGAATGTTCTCCTAAGATTGTTTCTAAATCAGAACTCAGAACAGATTTCTTACAGTACTATCCTGGTTTCTAAAAGCTGATCCTAGATACATCAAAATCAGTTCATGTTCACTCTCCCCTCTGTATTCCACACATTTGAAGGCCAGTTTAAAAAACATACTTCATAATCACATGGAAGAAAGAACTTTCTAGACAAGCTATGGCATAGATTCCGTACCACAGAAGTGATACACATTCCAAAATGGTCTCAGACTCACCCCAAATGTTTCTTCAGGAATCCCATAGGCTCTTGTCTATCGGAGAGTCTCCCTAGTTTAGCTATAAAGTCCCTCTCCCCAGCCTGTTCTAATGATCATACATAGTTTGCTCTATTAAGCCTCCTGCTTTCTTGCCCCTAGGCCAAAGTGTTATGCAGGCTTATTAGCCATAAACACTAGTGTTACTTTGTGTACCTATTTCGTTCTTGGGGGCTTACCTAGAGATGGATACAAGTAAACTTTTATCTACTGCCTGGGATATAGTGCAGTGGCAGAGTGCCTGCCCGGCAAATGTGAGGTCTTGACTTTGATTACTGATATTGAAAAAAAAAAAAAAAAAGACCAAAAAAAAAAAAAAAAGATTAAAGAGTGTATGACTTCAAATAGTTTCTTACTCAAGATGAAGGATATAAAAATATATCACTATGTCTTGGCAATTTTAATTTTAATTTTCATTCCAAAAATGAGACTGAAAATCAATGGCTTAGGACCACAGTCTACAACCCTCCTACCCAAACTCCAGCCTTAGATAAAAAGCTACAAAGACAAAGTCTCAAGAAACTTTCAGACATTTATAATTAACATAAACACTGTATCCCAAGACGTGTAAGTCAAAGCTTCTAATTATTCTGAGATACTAGCTCAGGCATGTGGCAGTGGAGTATGTCTGAAAGGTCATTTCAGCATCCAGTCACAGACCTGCTACTTACATAAGGATCTGGGGCAGAAGTGCAATGTGCACACTGCTGTGACTTTCACACACATGTACGCTAATAGCTGCTTAAAAGCAGCAGATAGCTTTGCAGCAGAGGTTGCCTACCTTTAAGTCAAATACTTTCTGCGCAATATTGGATTGAGTTATGTACTTGATTACAAATACGACAATGCCTTTTTTCATTTATTTAGCTGCACTGTTCTTTTGTAGATATTACAAATGATTTAAATGGCAGAGCCCTTCTTCAGCAGGAATCCTATCAACATTAAGACCCAACTTCTTCTGCCAAGGAGACAATAAGTGCTCAATGATATACTTATGAATCAGCAGAACCATGGTTTGATATGATAATTCCAGGCTTTAAAAGTGGATGGATGGGGGCAGGAAAGAGAAAATCATCTAGTTTAATTTTTCCATTTTATAAGCTAGAGAAAAAGAGGCTTGGTTTAACACTGCAACCCTGGGATCATAGCTCAGCTGGAG